GCATTATATTTATTTTAATTAGATATTATTAACATTAGTAGGTGTTTACTTTATATTAGTAAATTTAATTTTTGTAAACAAATTCCTTGAATGTATAAACTTAATTCAGAAATAAATTATTGATTGATTGTTCTAATCAAGGAAACTTTGGACTATTTTGTTATATAACTGCAATAAAATACTTGCAGCAACCATTGCAATGGTGCAAATGCATTTTTTAAGAAATAACTTTCAAAATGTGTCAAAACGTAGAAAATAATGCGTTTTACTAAACAAAATGAAAAATATAGCCATAATTCATTTTTTTTCAAAAATAAGTGCAACTGTTCCAATTAAGGCGCTGTTCCAATTTTGGCAAATTTCCCCTACATTGATTACAGTGATCATGATGCGTAATATATAAATATCTCATGTAAAATAAATATCTCATGAAAATTAGAATTTTATGTCGAAAAAATAAAATTATCAATAAATTTTGAAATTTTTAATTTATTACTGCAAGTTTTTTTTTATAGCTGATGTATTATAAATATAGTTATATGACTAAAAAAATATTTAAGGAATAATTTATTAAAACCATTTTTTAAAAATTTATTTAAGTTAAATTTTTTTTTTACGGTAACAAAAAACAACAAAATATTTAATTTTGTTTTCTAAGTAATTTTTTGGTTAAAAATGAACATGTAATTAAAAGTTGTCTAGCAACATACATTAGTATATATTTTCATATATTTTGATTAATCAAAAATAAATGCAAGTGTTCCAATTAAGGCACTGTTCTAATTTCGGCAACTCTCCCCTATATTGATTACAGTGATCATATATATCATGATGCATAATATATATGATGCGTAATATAGCAGGTCTTACAATCGATTGTAAGACCAGTTTCCACATACATAAATATAAATGAAAATCAATAATATTTTTGCAAACTTGATTTTTTTTAAATGATATACACTTCCCCAAAACCATGGGGGCTGTTACATCAAGAGACAACTTTTTTTTTTGGTGTTGGTGTTATGGTTAAAACCCTCAACCTAAAAATAAGTTAAGCGCCGTACTGCCAGGGACGTGGTGGGGATTGAACTTGGAAGTTCTCGATGACAAAGCAAGTGCTTTACTTCTCCACCACTACAATATTTTGTTTTTGACTCCAAGTCACACGACAACCGAAGTCAAAATTTTTGATACAATGAAAAAAGTTCGAAAGCACGCACCAGTAAAAAGAAGATGTAAAGTTTTTGATTTTTCAAAAGAGTTTGATGCTGCTGCTGAATTTTTTTATTTTAAAATATTGATGTAGCTACTTTTTATGTGTATAAAGTTATAAACTGTAATGATTAAAAAGATTCTTTTAAATTGAAAGTTAAAATGGCTTTACGCCCTAATAAAAGAAAACCCGAGTGGTTTTGAAACAAGAGGAGTAAGCTCGGAGAAGATGTCGAGTGTGTGGTTCAATAGACTAAAATAGTTGAAACACAAAAAATGTGTCTGAACCAACAGGAAATGAGCACCGTATGCTTCATCTGAGAGTGTTAGTATAAAAATAATCTTTTTTAACAGAGGAAATTATGAAACAACATATATTCAAGGAATTTTCAGGAATTAGGGTATTTTTTATCAAAAGGTTTATTTACAATTGTCGTAATTAAGAATAAACGATTAGGTCGATAAAAACTGAATAAATGTCAGAGGATCGGCAAATATTAGGATACGGCATTAAGTTGAACTAAAAATCTGATGTGGAACATAAGCAAGATAAAAGACATAATCGGAGATGTCAAAGATAAAAAATACATTTATCAAAAAAATTTAAGCTCTGCTTAAAAAATTTAAATTTTACTCATTAGGGATCGTCTATAAATTACGCAATTCTAAATTTCAAAAATAAGCAAAACAAAAAAGGTCAAAAGTTTTCCCTTGCAGAGCCTTTAGATAAATAAAAGATCAAAACAACGCATTAAGTATAAAGAAAATTGCCGCGTAAAAGAATTTAAGATCTCCTACTTCTGTTTTTTAATAAATTTAGCGTTGTGTAATTTATGGACGATCCCTTAAGACACAAAAACGCTACACGGAGGAGTATATTTTTCCTACTCCTCCTACATAGAAGAGTGTTGGGCTAATCAAATTGTTAAAAAAGTAAGTTGTTTGTATTGACTGCTTAAATAAAACAATTAATGTCCCTCTTGGGAATATGTATAAATAGCGTGCTTATCGAAGCCTCACTCTCTTTAAATAACTTATCAAACAACAACGGACTCGAGTAACTCTTCTACTACTAGCTGTGATCTCTTCTTTGTGTTTCTCTCATATTTGAATATACTTATTAATTATAATAAATTAAACTCGTTTTACAATACGACTTTTACGTAAAACAACAAAGAGTAGGAGATAAAGAAAGATTTGGAATACCAAAATTGAGAGTCGCCGTAAAAAAGGTAGTTCCTGAATGCAATATGTGTAAGAGATGAAATCACTATTACCGCCAACAAGTAATGGAAGGCGTGAACTTCCAATCAATGCTCATCCGCAGTGCTTTGCGATAATACCGTAGAGACTTCATAGGGCACCTAAATTAAAAAAAAAAAAATGCCAATACATTTTAGAACATACGAACATACGAACATACGAATGTTGAACCATTTGCGGTTACAATTGTTAATTTTGCCAGTTTGCTAATATATAAGGTGTCAATAAAATGGAGGTTTAATCTATCAAGAGCCTTCTAATGAGGAATTTTATTCGAGAGTTTTATTGAAATATAGGGCACGCAAAAAAAAAGGCATGCCAAGTTTTTTTGAAAAGTAGAGTAAAGCAGGGAAAAATGGGACACTTAAGAAACAAATGGTAATAGCAGATAAACTAATCATAGTTAACACTGTTTTTTATAAATTTCTTAAAATTTATTGATAGAAGAAAACGAAAAAAAAAAAAAAAAAAAAAAAATTCTAAAAATAAGCTACAAAAACTAAAGTAACGAAACTCTAGACTAGCAAAATTTTTACATTTTGCAAGTGGATGGAGCAAAACGAGACAGTTAAAAAGCAGCAGTTCTAAACTAACTCTAAGTTCCTTTTTTACTCACAGCTAAAGCTGCATTTTATCCTATTTTAAACAATTGATCTTTTTTAAATAATTTCGTGCCATTGTTGTTTACATTAAACAATATTAATAATTTATAAAAATAAAGTTAAGTTAAAAAAATAAGAATTTCCTTCAATTTATTACTAATACTATCTAAATAAGGAACATTTTAGATTAAAAATAAAATCATCAAACTGTAAACAGCGTCATAGAATGGAAGTAATATAGCCAATTATAAAAACAACTTGTTGTCCCGATATGTCCCATAAAAGTCATTTTATTGAAATAATTACTATTTAAAAAGTTTAATTTACATATATTCTTTTTAAACCAGATTCTAAAAGAGGATAAAAAATAATTTCTGAGTAATATATATTTTTTTTATAAATAAAGAAAATTAGCAATTGTTCAAGATAAGTCTCTTGTTGTTTGTATCGCTTAATAAAATACGCAAATTTACTGATGCATTTTGATATTTTTTAATGCAATTTGGTATTTCTAAAACTAATTTTAAACTGTTTTATAAAAAATAATTTTTTAAAAAAGAACAATTTTTAGCTGAGATATAAGGCATAACCAGGCATGTCCCACTACCCGGACTTGCCTTGCTCCATCCTTTTGATGGACCTGGAGTGCTCTTTGAACAAAAGACCAATTTGTTACCAAGGTTATCAGTTCGACAATCAAATATTGACACCATACGTCCTAATGAGTAGAAATCTGAAATATTACTTGAAGAAAACCGAATTAATAACAAAAGCGGGTTGTGCAACATGGAGATTAAAGTATTTTAAAAACTGTATGTATAACCAGAGAAAAGTATGAATAAATGAATACATACATGCAATGGAAAAACAACAAAAATCACAGAAAAAAAGAAACAACGTGAAACTACCAAGAATTGGAAGGATAGTGCTTATGATAATGTGAAGACAAAGTACTTTTCAATATCGGACGAATTGAAAACGAAAAAACGGGATTATAAGTGGTTTTTGAATACGACTAGAAAGCAGTTATTTGAATGAACAACCAATTCGATTGGTGTGTGACTTGAAAATTGATTGTAAAAAAGGAGGAGAAATTGAATCGGAAAAATCTGAGCAAACTTAGGTTTTTTCAAAGCAAAAACCAGGGGGGCGAAATTGGATGGAAAATAGAAGATCAAAGTTATCAAGAAAGACTAGATAGTTGATTAAAGAGGTCTCAGCTTTAATAAGGGAAGTAGGTTTTACTTTTTCACTATGGAGCAATTAGTGTTTTTACCAAAATAATGGCTTTGACGCGGTTTTCAAATGACGATAATATTGTAGAAATATTTTCTCATAAAACTATTTTTTTTTAAATGATAAAAATCTAATATTGAGAGGAGTTGTATTTATTTATGTATATAATTTGAATTAATCCAAATCTCATAAGAGATGTCGTCATTTAAACTATCAATCTATTAATTAATTTATCTATCTATCTATCTATCTATATATATATATATATATATATATATATATATATATATATATATATATATATATATATATATATATATATATATATATGAAATGCCAAATGCCCCTGCTGCCCACCCGGTTGCTACGGGCCTGATATATATATATATATATATATATATATATATATATATATATATATATATATATATATATATATATATATATATATATATATATATATGAATGTGTAAATGTTTTTATAAATTTACGTACTATGTAACGTAGAAAGTTTAACTATAAAAGAATAATAGATTGTTTTTATTAAGTAATATATTGAAAAAAACATAAATATAAAAATAAATAAATAAAGGTTTGTGCTTTAAAAGGACTGAATTCAGTAGATGAAAATTTTCATTTGTTTATAAAGCTTTACAATAATAAATTTATAAAAAATTATAAACTTACAAGTTATAGGAGATCCTTGCAATTGATGTAAAACAAACACCATTAAAATGTAAACTTTCATTTTCCTCAGTTATTATAAAATATTTTCTTCCGTAACACTTTTTTTCAATATCTTATCTTTTTCTTACTCAAATAGTGCTTATTTATAATTTTCTACTGTACTGCGTAAACAGCTTTTTATCAACGTCATTGAATCTAAACAATTAAATAAACGCCTTACTATTTGCGTACACTAGAAAATTACATAAATTTACACATAAAATCCGTAACTAACGATTATTTTAATTTTTATCGATTGTTGGTTTTAAACGCTTATACAAAATATAGGATATAACTATATCAAACAGGTTTTATGATTAGAGGTATCAAACAAGTCACTGAAAACTCTTATTTTATACCAATACCAATTAAGGTGGTAGACTGCTAAAAAAATTGGAAAAAGTAGTTTTTCAAATGTTGATTAGTTTTTATTATTGCTTCAATTATTGCTGTTTTTAAAAACATACATAACTTACAAAAAAAACATAAAAAGACCTAAAAAAAAAAAACAGCCTAAATTTAGTAGGGTGGTTTCGCTTCCCCTAGCAACGCTCATAGCAACGTCACAATAAGGTACTTTTAAACTAAATTTCACTAAATCTAAGCACTCAAACCAATAGCTGCTTCTTGTTTTATTTGTTTTTCTATGTTTAAATGACATGGTTTGAAAGAACAACTTTGTTGAATTGGTTTAATTACTATATATTAACTCAATAAAATTGCATACTAAATAATGATTGAATAATGATTTATCGAGAAGAAAAGGATTTTCACATCAACTTGTTTTGTCGTGCATTGCAAAAAAATGTCAATAGCAAAATGAATTTTTTACCTCAAAAAAAAAAATCAAAAAAAATAGTGATAATGAAACACAAGGCATGAAATTGTTTGTCATTATTATCAAATGTGTGTAGCCTTCAGAAAAATTGGAAAAAGTTATGCTGCAGTTGAAAATTTTTGTAACATAATAAACAGTCCACCACCAATGCAAAAAAACAAACATAATAACATATATTAATATAATTGCATTTGTCTTATATCAAAGTTGCTCAAGATTCAATGAAGCGAGCAGCTGCACAAGCACAACGTACAAGTGAGTCTACTGTTGGTGACCCTGTTGATGTTGATGGAAAGTTATTAAAAAGAAGCCTTGATGGAGAAACACACAATGCAAATGAATTGCTCAATAATTTAATTTGAAAAAATAGCCCAAAAAGTGTGCACGTGGGTAGATCAACACATGAAATTAGTGTTGCATCTGCTGCAGAACATTTTAATGATGGTAAAACTGGTAAGATAGTTGTTCTTTACAGTTTAAAAATTGTACCAGGACAATCTACCAAAAACGGTTTTCAAAATAGTGATGTGCTATGTGTAAAGCCTATGGACACAAAATCATCTGAAAAGTTTAAAAAATAAAGAAAAAAGCATAGTGCAACAAGTAAGGGGTTTGATGATAAGCACAATTATGAATTGAAAACATTTATATTATATGAATAATGGGGTTTTTAATCTGTTTTTAAGTGTAAATATATTTGTATATTCAAAATATAAAGTTTTATTTGCATTTTTCTCTGTTGTAAAGTTTTTCACATTCTGGATAAGATTGTGGGAGCTGTATTTGTCCAATTGACTTTAAGTTTTGTACATTTTTTAGTTTAGTACAGATGTTCATTTTTATGAGCTTTATATCCTGAGATAAAAAAATTTTGAATAACATAAAAATTAAATTTTTTGGACTTTTCTAGGGTCAGGAATTTGGCCTAAATTCAGACGCATGGAAAAAGGTTATAGTGCATCGAAATTGAAAAAAATTCAAATTTTTTGTTTATCTCAGGTCATTTATCTACTTAAAAGGTACATAACTGTAAAATTTTTAGACTTGATATATTTTCCTTTTTGATTTATCTTTTTCAAGACCTTTGCACTTTTTAGGCCTACAAACAATTAAATTTGCCCAAAAAGTAGAAAGAGGAAAAAAAATAAACCTCTTTTATTAATCCTATTTATCGTGTTTAAAATAAGATAATCAGATGGAATAATGTCAGAAGTAAGAAAATAGTTTTAAGTAGTCTGCCACCTTAAAAGCATCGGATCCAAGATTTTCTATTAATAGATTATTTGAGGGTTTTCGAAGTTTCTTAAATAAGTTTTTAGGTTTTAAGCTCCAATCTTTCTATATTAAACTTCAACTGTATAATAAATTTTTGCACTAAAAAATAGGCCTAATAGAGCTTTTAAAAAAGAAACTTAAAATAATTTTGAAGTTTTTATATGTTGTTCATAATGTAGAATAAAACTTTTATATAATTGCTCATATTGTATGTTTTTATAAAAGTTTCAAATTCATAATAAAGAGCCAAAGTATGTCAAGTAAAATTTGTTTTTACTGAAGACAAGCGTTTTTTTAATGTACAGCTATTTTATGTCAACTTGAGGAAGGATAACATCAAACTGCAGCTTGATAAGCCCGACAATTTACTATCATCAGCATAAAGTTTGCTAAAACTTTTTATGGTCAGCAAGTTATATATAATAATGAATGTAATAAATAAGATAAATAGTAGTAAGCCAAAACCCTTGTCCTAAGGCACATCAAATGTCATCGAGAAATACTCAGGTATTGATTTGTTTAAGCGCATTCTATGCAGGCGACCAAGGGTCGATGTGAAATTTGGTCAAATGATAATACAAAATGTTAAAGAAATTGTAAATCCACGTTTCGTAATAGTATGCCATCTGTTTCAAAATATTTGCAACGTCCTTGCTTCAGGGCCAAAACCATGATAAACTTTAGAAATTATATTCAGCAAGTTTACATTACACAATCATGTATTAAAGTTTTAATGACTTTTGACTTTTATAAATTTGATAGTTAAAATTTGCTGATCTTTTTGGCTATAAAACGCACCTTATCGTTGAACGCAACTTATCGTTGGAAAAACGCACCTTATTGTTGGAAAGATAAAAGATTTATATTAAGAAAAAAATTATGATTAATAAAAAAATTAAAAATAAATGCATAAATACTTAAAAACAAATTTCAATTTTTTTTAGATATTTTATTTTTTTTCATATTTTTTATGAAAAAAAAGTTTGATTGTTGTTTAGTAAGAAATATTTTTGCATAGTTTTGTAAGCATATCCAGCAGATACGACTGTTTTGTAAGCATATCCAGCAGATACGACTGTTTTGTAAGCATACCCAGCAGATACGATTGCTTTGTAGTGAAAATTGTGAAGAAATTTCAGTGAAAGAAGTTACCTATACCAGCTTGTATTAGCTTATCTATTGCATGAATTATTTTTTAAACAGATAGATAATAGATAGTGTTTTATAATGGGCTTTAAGTGACCTAATCACGCCCTGGTCCATTGGCTAGAGGTTGTTGGTAGTGTTTGGTGGTAAAAAGATTGGTTCTATTGATTCAAGATTATCAATGATTGGATGAGCTGGACAATTATCAATTAATAAAACAATTTTTAGTCCTTCCTTCCTAAATTTTCATTAATTTCACAAACCCATTCCTTGAATAGTGTGCCCTCCATTCAACTTTTTGTCGTAATGCAATAATGGCAGGGCAAATTTTTTTTTTTTTTTTTGTGTTAACTCGCGTCCCCAAAGCCGAGAAGGCCACTACAGACGAGGAGACAATTTTATAGTGCCTATAACCCTCTCTCAACTCTTTAACTCCGAAACACGAACCTTGACGAACAAGGACGCTGCGCAGAGAAACAAGTTGAGCGCGGTACTACCAGGGACGTGGCGGGGATCGAACTCGGAACCTCTCACTTATGAATCGAGCGCTCTACCACTACACACATTTGGGCAGTTAAACTTTGCCAAAAACAAACATTGGCAATTTTTTCCCTAATGCATTAGCCGATGCCGTTCCTGTGAGACATAGTTTGCTGCGTTTCCCACCGACACGTTTTTCATTTTTAAAATAAAAAAAATTTATTTGGTTGGACCCGATATAACTAGTCAAATTTGTCAGGCTTGATCCATATTTACAAATGACTCATTCCTCAAATGCTGACGTTTTATGATATTTATGTTTATGTTGTTTTTATGTCTCCATAGCATCAAAAAAAATTTCCTTGTCTCTCAACCAGGTGCATTAGATGTTCATTGGTATATCTTAAAGTGACCTTTGACTTTGAGATGCCATCTAACACCTCCTTCAGTGTGTTGTATTTGATTTTCATCGTTTTTGTATTCAGCTTTCGCTTAGTTACAATTGTCGCCGAGTTACAAACTTTAAGTTAAAAAAGCAAGTATTTAAGTTGTAAACTTAAAAGATGACATTCAAAAATGTTTAGCCAAAAAATGCTTTTTTATCTTCCTTATTTTTCTATTACTTTATAACAGATGTTATTCACTATCTGCCTTATTATTCGGTAACGAAATTGCGTCAGAAATTAATAGGGTACTGTTATTGATATTTTATATAAGACAATTTCTTAAAAAAAAATTTTAATCAAGTTTAATTTGGTTATACTTTTTTTAAAGAAGTCAGGGTAATGAAAGCAAAATAATATTTTGATTTCGTTATTACGTATAGAAAAAGCTCGAGTTATCCTAACAAATTTGGTGAGAGGAGAAAAAATGCTTCGACTTAACGAGTTAACCTCTCTTGAACTGTCTCGAACTGTTTCATATGGTCCCCTGAAATTTTATAACTGATTACTATTATAATTCTACGGTTAAATCAAATCTCGATTTAACCGTAGGATTATAGAGATTTGATTTAACCGTATATATATATATATATATATATATATATATATATATATATATATATATATATATATATATATATATATATATATATATATATATATATATATATATATATATATATACACTTTATATATATATATATATATATATATATATATATATATATATATATATATACACTTTATATATATATATATACACTTTATATATATATATATATATATATATATATATATATATATATTACATTTAGAGAGAGAGAGAGAGAGAGAGAGAGAGAGAGAGAGAGAGAGAGAGAGAGAGAACTAGATCTCTGAAAAAAATAAAACAACCTCGTCAAACTTTTATAATTTATATAAAAATAATTATTTTTATGTTAGTTTTTAGTTTAAAATAAAAAAATATTATCAATTAAAATTTTAAATTAACTTATTAAAAACTGTTAAATCTTTTATAAAAGAATTAACAATTTTTGTTTGATAAACAAAATTTGATCAGAAAACGAAATAAGTTTATCTTAAATTTTTATTGATAATATTTTTTATCTTGAACTAAAACTTTATTATCAATTAATTTTTAATTTTACGAGCCTTACTATTTTGCTGCTAACTCTATTTTTTAATTACATCATGTTTAAATCAATAAACATATATGTTACTAGAAAAAAGTTCAAACTAATAAGTTTTTAAGTGATAATAAGTCATTAACTCTTATATAGAATACCAACTAGTAAAGTTTATAAGTCATACGTTGAGTCATTTAACTTAAATTGTTTTAACTTTATTTAACCATTAATTAATTGTAATAAAATATATTTAGTATTAATTAGTTAAATTTTTATATGACGTATATCCCCAAGCGGCACATCTGGTATCAAATACGCATTAATACCAGTTTATGTCATGCAATGACTATGCGTTTATTGACTAAACTACATTAAAATGAAATATAATTCATTACTTAAAAATGAGCCATAATACATTATATTGTAGATAATCTCAATCCCAGTGGGCGCGCGTCGTTCGGGGGACGTCGATCAGACAACTTACGGACGTATAATCGTCCGTAAAACGTCCGACGGACTTTCTCCGAACAACGCGTGCCCGATGGGATGCATATACGTCAAAAATTTGGGTCCTTTAGTAGAGTAACCTTTTCTTGTTGTAAAACACGATTTATCTCAATTTCTTCACATTTTTTCAACAAAAATCATTTTTTTGTTGAAAAAATTTGATTCTTCTGAATGTTATGAACATTCTCCCAAAATTTGTCTCAATTTGCCTTAGGTTACCCTATTTTTGGGGACTAAAAGTATCGGATTTGACACCCTGTAAATTTAAGTTTAGACGAAATTAAGAAAAAAAATTTTTTTTTTTTTTTTCAAGTTTAAAATCAAATCATACTTTATTTTATGACCATATCACATTAAGGCCGACGACACGGGTTTTGAAGTGGGAGGGCACAATCATCAATTTGTAAAAAAAAGGTCCTCTATATCAAATTTTTTCAAAAAAAAAAAAAAAAAAAAAGGCCTTTAGAAAAAAAGTGGAGGCGGGGAACACCCCTGGTCACCCCTGTGTCGTCGGCCCTGGACATGCGGTATATATTTATCGAGTTGAATAAAGATATATTTATTAATAAAAATATATTTATCGAGATTAATAAAGGTGCGTACAAACTTGTTTAATTTTTTTATTTAAAGATAAGGAAATAAAAAGCGCTTAATGTTAATGAAAAAGTCTCAATAAAACGCCCATTAAGATTTTACAGTTTTTAAACTTTTTGTTCATTGTTGTATTACATATTATTTAGCATACAAATATCATAAGCTAAAATTATAGCATTGATAAGCGATTTCCCATAAAACCTTTATAATGTTGAAAACACATGAACAAATTACTAATGATGACTATTATCGAAGGTGAAAAAATTAACGTCACATTATTGACCAACGTAAATAACAAATTAAGATTACAAATTTTATAAACCTTTTTTTACGTAATTTGTCAAAAAACTATAAAATGAAATTTTCAAATCAATTATGTAAAACATTAAAAAGAAATATATTAAGCAAAAGTTTAAACTAACTGAAAGAATGAAGTTCTACATATTTCTGATGTTTATTTTGCATATGTCGCAGGGATTACCACCTATAAAGCGTAAGTTACAAATCACTTTTTAATTTATTAGAAAGAACTTTTTTTCGTTATTAATCTATGTTATTTTAAAAAGTGTCAATTCAATACAACATAATGAGAATAAAAATTAAGTTTCTCATGGACAAAAATTTTTTTAATACCGGTGTTTGCATATAGTCTAGTGCGAATCTAATGGTTTTTTTCATTTAATCTGGCGGTTTTTTGCATGTATGTACATAAATGTAGTTTTTTGTAACATTTATGAGGAGGGAGGGGGCAAATTTCTCTGCCGCCTTCCCCCCTCCCTCTTGTGTCTACGGGCCTTTATATATATATATATTTATATATATGTATATATATATATATATATATATATATATATATATATATATATATATATATATATATATATATATATATATATATATATATATATATATATATATATATATATATATATATATGTATATATATATATATATATATATATATATATATATATATATATATATATATATATATATATATATATATATATGTATATATATATCCGATACGATAAATAATCAGGATGAAAATTTTTTATCAGATAAGATTTTTAGGGATAAAGATTTTTGCATATTTTTTAAATACCGAAAATATATTCAGGTTAAAATATTTTACATTAACATTTAATGTTTCAATAAATTTGATATACTTTGATTAATATCTTCATTTTTTTATTTTAGCCTGTTTACCAGTTAACTGTTTGGTTAATCCATGTATTAATTATAATTGTTCAATTGGTTCACAATGCGTTCCAAACTACTGTAACGGTTGCAACGCTGTTTGCAAACGTAAGTTTTTCTATTAAAGAAAGTGTATGTTAGTCACTGTACGTTATTCTGCCCATTCAATAGTAAATATTTGCGGAAATATATAAAATAATTGTTTTAATTTAAAAAAAATTCAATTTAAAATGATTAGGATGATTTTTACTTTCAAATTTATTTTAGCGTGTCCAATCACCATCTGTAAACCATGCAGATTACTCTGCCCGTTCCGTAGTAGATGTGTAGTAAAAAATAATTGCGGAAAATGCACCTATTCGTGTACCAAGCCAATTATTCCAATAAGTAAGCCTGATTTCTTTTATATTTAAATTTACTTTGATTCAGTTGTTTACAGTGGCGTTTTTAATGAAAAGGTGTGAATGCTATTCTTACCTGCAAAACCTTGGCTCCTCCTCCTTGATATCCTCTATACCCTCATCATTAAAATATTTTTTGAATAACTTTTGTTTCACTATTTCCTGAGCGGTGTTATGTGAAAAACTATTTGGTCCTCTTGGAATTATCTTGATAACAAATTATATTAAAAAAATTAAACAAAATGTTTCGCACAAGTTTACTTGAATTAATTTTAACATAGTTTTACCCGATTTCAATACGAAAATGTATTTAAAGCTTAATACTAAAAATTATTCGTTTGGTTGAAAACTAATTTAACACATTTACTTTTGTTATACTGACGACATAATAACGGGTTAATGCCGAATTAACTAACGACGTTTTTATTTAGGATAATTAAAAAATGCTACTGTAGACAACTCTTTTTAATTTACATACATACATACATACAACACCAGTGCTGGGTTACTCAATATGCCCGCCTTGGCCATGGCCTAGGATCCCCATTTAATTTTAAATTTGTATTTTTTAAGTTAAATAATACTTTAATATAATATTTTATTGTGAATTAATTAACAATGCCAGCAGTTCAAATTAAACATTTATATTTATTACTATTCTACTTTATTTATAAAAATATATAAAATGTTTTTGTGCAAGGTGATCGTGCATTAAGCAGCATATCTTTAAGTTTTTTGCGTTCTCATCTATAGAGACCTGAAAACTTCCAAAATGTTTATGAAAAGCATTTATGCTGCTGATTTAGCAAAAATCAACAGTATAATTTTGAATGATGTCTATCGAATCAGATATTCCTCGCAAGATTGATTTTGATGATATAATAAACAATAAGTTTTAGATTTAAATTTTTATCATTTAAACTGAATTTTGTAATCTGTAAACCATGTATTTTGTTCTGCGATTTCGTTAGTAAATGTATAGTAAAAAATATTTTCGGGTATATATTTAAAAAATATATAAGAAAAATATTCAACTTGGTAATAACTTTTTTTAATTTATAAAAGATTTGATTTAAAGTGATTAAGCTTTACTTTCAAATTAAGTTTTACTTTCAAATTTATTTTAGCATGTCCGTTCACCATCTGTAAACCCTGTAAATTATTTTGCAAGTTCGGTAGTAGATGTGTAGTAAAGAACAATTGCGGAAAATGCACGTATTCGTGTTCCAAGCCAATTATTCCAACATGTAAGCCTGATTTTTTTTATATTTATATTTGTTTTGTTTCAGTTGTTTACAGAGGCGTTTTGCTTTACGAAAAGGCGTGGGTGCTATTTTTACTTGCGCGACCTTGGCTCCTTTAGATTTTCTTCTTACCTTTATCATGAAAATAATTTTTGAATAACTTTTGTTTTGCTATTCCCTGAGTATTGCAATGTGACAAACTGTTTAGTCCTCTTGGAATTACCTAGATAACAATTGGGTGGACACGGAAAAATCCGATCAACTTTAAGTTGAGATTTATTTAAAACCATAAATGGTTTTTGTTTCTTTTATTATTTTAGTTAAACGTTACTTGTTTAATATGTTTAATTCTGTTGATAAATTTTTGTTTACAAATCAATGATTTGAAAAATGTTTCAAAAACAAATTTAGTTGCATAAATAGATTGCGAGTTTTTTTTGCAAAAATCCATTATCTTCATATCGCTGATTGCTAAACGTACAAATGCCCTAAAATCTACAGTCATAGATATTATAAATAACTTTAAGACTACTCAAAGCTTCAAAAGAAAACCGGGAACTGGAAGAAAGAAAATTTTCTATGAATCCAAAAAGGCAGGGCCGTCCCGTATGGAGGGTGTAGGGGATATCCCAAAAAATACATACAACACCCCCCTAATGGAAGCCATCTCCCCCCTAATGGAAGACTTCTTAGAGAAAGCCCGGCAAAAAGGTAAAGTAAATTCTCAGTTCAATAGCAAGTAAACCGAACCAGTGACAGCATTATCTAGCAAGAAAATTCTTATATCAAAAAAGTACTTAAAAATGCTTGAATTAAAGCATTTCATAAGAAAAGTCCACCTAAAAGAAGCTTAAATGGTAAAATGAAAGAAACTCGACGCGCAAAGAAGTTGGTTAGAAAACAAAACATATTGCAAGGTGCATTTTTAACAACTTCCTGATCAACAATTTTACTATGAGAACAAAGATAAACATGTAGTTATCAATTTGAATATATTTGACAAGAAATATTTGCATCTAAGTTCGTTTTCTGGCAAGCAACTTGTAGCTGTGGTATGCAGTCCTCTTGTTTTGTCATTAAGAAGACCTTGACTGCTGATCTCTTTATCAAATAATGCCTCCAAAAAAGACTTTCTCCATTTATGAAAAAAATACAAACACCGATGTCTCTTTTAGCCCGATCTTACTGCATCTCATTATTTTATAAAAAGTTCTACAGCGGTACAAAAATAATAATGTGAAAATTGTTCCTAAAAAGTCGTCGTGAAGACGACTGGGCAATAGTTAAAGGAGTTTTTTGAAAGACAGGTAGAGTAACAAAATATTAAAAGGATTTCCAAAAAAAATGAATATAAAGATAAAAAAAGATAAAAAAATTGGCGGTATTAATCCAATTTTTTTGGAAGTCTTTTTTATATTATAAGATAAAATAAGATAAAAAAAGAAAAAATCTGCAAAATGATGGCATCAACTCGCTATAAAATTCGATCACTTACCAAACAAATCATCAAGCCCCTTAAAATTAAGTTGAAACCCCAATTGATGCAAACATATTTATTATTAAAAAAATTGTTAAAATTAATTTTTTTTAATATTAAATATGTTTTAAAATATGTTTTAAAAATTAAAATTAAAAATTAATATTAAATAAACAAAAATTTATAGTTTTAGAAAGATCTTAATTTAATGTCGACTGAACTTTTCTGTTCGAAAATACAAAATTTTCGAACACCCGAAAATAAAAAAAATAGCAAACAAAATGTTGCATAAATTCACTTGAAAAAATTCTAATATAATTTTAACTAATTTCACTACAAAAAGTTATTTTAGGCTTAATACAAAAAATTATTTGTTTGATTGAAAACTATTTTAACACATTCATTTTTGCTATAAATATATAAAAAGTATATATAACTTTATTAATTTTTTTTTTTTTAATTCAAAATAGATTTAATTTAAAATGATTAAGCTGAGTTTTACTTTCAAATTTATTTTAGTTTGTCCGTTCACCATCTGTAAACCCTGTACATTATTCTGCAAGTTCGGTAGTAGGTGTATTGTAAAAAATAATTGCGGAAAATGCACGTATTCGTGTTCCAAACCAATTATTCCAATCTGTAAGCCTGATTTCTTTTATATTTATATTTGTTTTGTTTCAGTTGTTTACAGTGGAGTATTTTTCACGAAAAGGCGTGGGTGCTATTTTTACTTGCGCGACCTTGGCTCCTTTAGATCCTTCTTACCGTCATCATTAAAATAATTTTTGAATAACTTTTGTTTTATTATTCCCTGAGCGGTGTTAAGTAACAAACTGTTCGGTCCTCTTGAAAATACCTAGCTAACAAATAAAAATAAAACAACAAAATGTTTTGCATAAATTTAGTTGCAATAATTTTGACATAGTATTTCAATTCAAAAATTCATTTAAGGCTTAACACAAAAAATTATTCGTTTGGTTGAAAATTAGTTTAACACATTTATTTTTGTTATACTAACAACATAGTGACGGGTTAATGCCGAATTAACTAAAAATATTTTCATTTAGTTTATCGTAACTAAATTTTTCCTACTGTAAACGACCCTTTTTATTTTACATACATACATACATACATACATATATATATATATATATATATATATATATATATATATATATATATATATATATATATATATATATATATATATATATATATATATATATATAATATATATATATATATATATATATATATTATATTACACTGTCATTATTTACCATTTTTGTTCAGTTGAAATAAAGAAAGATTAATGGCTACATGCAAAGAAGATTGCTACAAAGAACAAAAATTTTGTAAATAAGCAGTTAAAAGTTGTAACAAAAGTAAAATTTTGAAATATAACCTTGTGTTTCGTACTTTATATTATTTGTTTTAAAATATTTAAGAAACTATTTTTGTGTGTGTGTGTGTGGTTACTAAGCACCTTAATAACCACACACACACACACACACACACACACACACACACACACACACACACACACACACACACACACACACACACACACACACACACACTCACACACACATTCACTTCCTTAACTTATATGGTTAATGCGAACATCAAACTTCGGATCACTTGATTCTGAGTCAGTTATCTAGCCATTGTGCCATGGCTGCTTAGTTGAGGGAGAAAAGCATAATACCCGGTCTCATTCCTCCATCGCTGCGATTTCTATAAAAAATGTGAGGCACAACCAAGGCAGTATGAAAAGATGGACTATTAACTTTTCGTTATAGATCAGCGCATTATAATTTTTTTGGGCGCAATTTAAATGGACTGCAGCGAGGAAAAGCAAATAATAAAAAATAAAAATCAGACGCGAAAAATCCTAAAACTTATCATAAATTGTTTTTTTTTTTTTAATGAAAAGCTACGATATTATTTTCAATTTAATAATCGATCTAAAGATATATAAGTCAATACATAAAATTAAAAACTATAATATAAAAAGTATGCGCACAATACTGAATAACGATATGATTAAAAATGTTGTATAAAAACAACACAAATATAATGTCAATACGGTATGGTTTGCAATGAATATTAGTTTCTTTATTTTAACTATCTGCAGCTGATTTTTATAGTAATTATTAAGCGATAATAGATGTTCAAAATATACTATAAATATGTTTTAATAGCGGACTTTGCGTTTTACATAGATTTTAAATTTACACAAATATGCATTTTTTTTAAGTATTTTCATCTAATTAAATATATGGAATATTTTATAAAAATAAAATAAATATGAGTATTTCAGTTATTTTTAACAATTTAGGTAGCAAGTACGATTGTATAAAGAAAAAATGTTTTTGAACATGTATTCATAAAAATAAAACAAAAATAGAGACACTAGTATTTTTGATAACATAAAAAAGGTATATTTTAGGAACTTAAAAGTTTGTTTAAATAGTTCTATCTGCAGCTGAATTTTTTTTGAATAATATATGCATATTAGGATTTAATAAAATCATATCGATCAAGTTTATGCATGCGGACTTTAGTTTATGCATGCGGACTTTAGTTTATGCATGCGGAATTTAGTTTATGCATGCGGACTTTAGTTTTAGGAAGAAGTTGAAATTGAAAAAAAAACTTTTATTTTTATGCTAGTTTCAAACATGAATAACTTATGCAAATATACAATAATAAAAAACTGTTACTATTTCAAATTAAACTCTATACTAAAAAATTCATTCGAAAAAAAAATCTATGCATATGTGCATATAGTTTTAAATTTATACACAAATGAAAAGATGTTGTATTTTTGCAAGAAAATATTCACCGGTTTTTAATCGCGCTCGGAAACGGTTATTGACTTTTCTTTTTTAAAAATATGTATTTTTGAAACCTATATATTTTTGAATTGCCTAGACATTGCTGTGTTTAATTACAATTTTAAAAAGAAAAATTACCGTTTTTTTTTTTTTTTTAAATTTTGCCCAAAAATCAAGTTTTTTAGACCACTGTGCGCTGTTTTTATTTCTTCTTATATTGAGCGCCAAATAATTAATTGGTGCAACTCATTATTGAAACTTAATGTTCACTGTAGGCGATAAACATATATGTTAACTAAGTTTTGAAAACCAATAATGCTTTTTTTTGCAATCTAAAAAATAATCCTAATGATATGTGATTTTTCTTTTTTTTTTCTATTTAAAGATTTTGTAAAACGATTTAAAGTTATTTCTTATGATGGGATTTTTCAATTAACTGTCCCATCATAAGTAATAACTTTAAGCCATTTTAAAAAATCGACTATAGACTATATGGGCAGTGCCCATATAGTCTCAAAATATAACAAATATAAATAAAATTAATATTGAATGTATTAAATAAAAAGAAGATAATTTTAAAAATATATATAAACTATTGTAGAGTTTAATGCCGCTCTTCTGCTACAGAAGAGCGCCCTTTAACATAAACTTCAACTTATAAGACATAAACTTACATAAAATTCAACTTATAAAAACTTATTTACTGAACAGACCTGTTCATTATATGAGCTTTTATAAGTTGGAGTTTAGGTAAAGAGGCGCAATTTTAATTAATTTTTTTTATCAACTTCAAAGAGATGCCATAAAAATTTGTTTCCAAATGATATTAATTTTCTTTTATTTATTTTTTTAATTTAATTTACTTTTAATTTATTTTTCGGGAATTTTGCGCCCTCCCAAGTTTGGTGCCGCAGCCCGGCTGGCCCCGCCCTTGGTACTACCTGCACTTAAGGTGTAATATTTATGAGTATCACTTGTTTTAACAAAAAAAAAAATTAACATTAGGAATAGGTAGTTTTTATTTGAGAAAATCAAATACAAAAAGATAATTATTAAACTTTAAGTTTTTTAAGGGTTTTAGTTAAGTAAACTTCTTTTGGATAACAGATCGATAAGGAGAAAATATCATAGCTCTTATAGATGCATTTTTTAGAACGCTTGATAGTTAAAAAAAAACTTTCTTTATGACTCTAAATAACTAAGAAGAAAAAAGAACATGGAATGGTCAGGGCCGTCCCGAACGTGGGATGTAGCGGAAGACTTACCCCACCCCCTCATCCCCCAAAGCTATCATAAAAGCATTTGAGTTAGCAAGTTTTGAGCTATAGTTGGCAAATTGCAAATATTGAGGACCTTTTTTTTTTATTTTAGTGTCTCTAGTTGGCAAAAAGTACACCCCCTCCCCCATGGAAGACTTCTTTGTAACGGCCCTGGTAATAGTAAACTGATCTAAGAGTATGTTTGAGAACATAGATTTATGACTGTTTTTTATTTAAATCTTTTTTATTTAAATGAATTAGTCGATAATACCATCATAAGTATTTGATGAAAAGTACGCCGCGACACTTTATATATTTAGATGAAAAAGGTCTTTTATCTTTAATTCTATTTTTAAATTTTAAACTTTGGTAAATAATTTTTTTTTTTGTAATTAAAGAAATTAGATTACTATTTAGTCATTGATATTAATTATGGAGATCTCTTGACATCTTGAGCTATGAAAGTGATTTATGCATAGAAAAATTATGTCATCAGTAAAATAATGAACAAAGGAGTAATTTCTATAGACTAAAATAAATCAATTTGAAAGGTTACTAAGAGCTAGTTAGTTAGTTTATTTCGCCATTGAAAAATGTTTACAATTGGCTGGATCACGAAGAAGGCATAAATTAGCCTTACCACCGAGCCCAAATAGTAACTCTTCTAAATATCCGTATTATATTAGCAACAGCAATTAAAAGAACCAAAAAATGTAATAAAATAATTTTAGAAAACAAAAAAAAAAAAAAATGAATAAAATATATTTTAAAAAATGACAAAATATTCCGTTATTTTATTTCCATTAAATTAAGAGCATTTTACGGGTAGACTAATAATTTTTTTGGGAACTTTTTTGATTAAGAATATTCATACAAGTTCGACGGTGTTATTTAATTTAATTTCTTGGTTGTATAGTTAATATTCCTTGATTTTTTTACTGTTAAAATAATTTACCATCCCTGTTATAATTTTTTTGTTCAATATTTTGTAATTACGTCAGAACGAAACAAAATCATTTTTTTTTTCGTTTTATTTAACTTTTTTTTTATTGTTTTTTTGTTATTTTGAGTTTTTTCGAGTAAAAAAAAGCTCATCTTGAAAAAAAGCTCATCTTAGGAAACTGGTTTCCTAAGATTAGATGATAAAGTTTTTTTTTTTAATAAAGTTTTTTCAAGATATTATGTTTTATTTTGAGTTATTGTTTGAATAAATTTCTTACGTGAAGGAAGCAAAAGACACGATAGAACAAAATGTTCAACAAAAAAAAAACGTGTTAAACATTTTAAGTTATAACACAAAAATCTTGTACAACTTTGATTGGATGAATCAAATGTAAGTGAAAATGTTAAGCAGATCAAATCTTGAAAGATTAAGCAGATATTTAAAAACTGACTTTTCACTTAAAAAGGAAAATATCAACATTATTAAAGATTTTGCTCTGAGAACAAATTAGGATGTTTCTCGGTAATAATTTGAATAAAATAAACTGAGTAAAAAATAAATAAAAACGAAAACACTTGCTAATCCATGGATAAAACCCAAACTCGAAAACACTCGCTAATCCATGGATAAAACCCAAACTTGAAAACACTCGTTAATCCATGGATAAAACCCAAACTTGAAAACACTCGCTAATCCATTGATAAAACCCAAACTTGAAAACATCCATTATTAAACTTATTTTATAAGTTTTTTATCCGTGGATAACTTATAAAATACTCTAAAACCAAGTTTTAGTGTATAGGGTATCCTCCCTTCCCCCCAAAACTGTTATATATGCATTTGAGTTGACCCATTTGTTTATTTAGCATTTGAGTTTGAGGTATTTTTGAAGTATAGTTGGCAAATGTCAAACATCGAGGACTTTTTTTTTGTTGTTGTTGTTGCAAAAAACACATGCGACACCTCCCCCATGAGAGATCTCTTCGGTACGGTCCTGAAAAGTTTTAAACCTACAAATACTTTTATAACATTTAAAAATAAAAAAATAAAAAAATATATTACAGTAAACAATATATAAACAATAAAGTAAGTTTCAAAGTAAAAAAAAACGGTCAGTAATCCATTATCAGAAGTTTACACTTTATTTGTACACAGACAAATGTTTTTGTTTGTAAAACAAATTATTAAACTTGATTATTAAACAAATTATTGATTATAAAATTGATTATAAACAGTAGGTTTAGAAATAGTGACATTAGTCATTTCTTGTTTTTATATTGTTTTTATATTGTTTTATATTGTTGTTGTTTACACTTATTGTTATTTCATTTAGAAACTAACATTGTTTAAGATATAATTATAATTTAGAACAACGACTAAC